AGTGGCTGGGCCTCTTTCTTACATAACTCTCTGCTTCACTACCCTGCGCATGCCTGAGGATATTCTGTCATCATAATCTGTTATCAAGTACCTTATCTTCACTTCTCAGTTCTGTGAAGAATACTTCAGCAGCCAGATTTCAAAACTTCCTATGAAATGACTGATTCACTCCAGATGTGTTGGTCACAAACCTATGGGGAAAGTCATTAGTGAGTGCCAAGTGTCGCAATATAAACTCTTGATTTTCAGGTGATTGCATTGTTGTTATCACAGCTCTGTACCTAAGATACAAAGGAAGTTCCCTGAGCAGTGGCTGGATGAAGTGTTTTCCCTTGACTTCCTGTCATGTAGTTAAATCTTCCCAAGTAAACACAAACTCTGACTGATGCTTTGCCTATATTCAAAATATCTGTCTGCCACGCAGATGCTCTTACGTCTAAAATGGCAAATAATGACACTTGCAGCACTTCTGCCCCTGGGAGCACAGAGACATCTCTCCCCAAATACCTGAGCCCTCATTTCATGAAGCAGGGGAGGATATAATATCTCTAAGTTCTCAACCCCACTGTAACACACAGATCAAATTAGCCAAGAAAATCAAACAGTTGCTAGCAGCATGCAGACTCTGATTATATAAATTCCATTTCTTTAGGAATTCAGGCTAGAAGACTACACAACATTAGAAACTTTGTAATATTTTTCTGTGGCCAGATAATGTGAACTTACCTTTCTCATCTAGAAACTAATTTTGAAAAAGGAGAAAAGGTTTCCCCTTAAACTGCAATTTAAGAGATTCAAAATAATTGAGAACTTGGTCACACAACAATGCTGCAAGGACCAAAGACATTATCCCCCATGATTTAAACTGCTGTACAAGTCCATTTGGATATTATGCCTACCTATGGGACACTCAAGTGTGCCAGTGCATATTTTGATAAAAAAATCAACAACACAGTTAAGCTTATAGTAACTCCCAGCATATCTTATTGTGAAGAGTGGAAAATTTGAACCTCCATCTGGAGTTTTCCTGTGTTAAAGGATTTAAAAGTGTTTTAAATAGCTACAGTCCTTTAAAAGTTTTGCTTTTGTTTTTGTGGCCCACATTCAAAAGCTGCCAACATCTAGCCAGGTTAATGAGGATTTACTTAATCTCTGCTCTGGTCTATTGAAGAAGAGTCTGTTTATTCCCAACAAACAAAAGGGACCTTCTTCTGGCCCCATTCAGGGCAATTTGACCAGATGAAGAACTGTTGCTCCACTGCAGATTGAGAATGAATAGAACTGAGCAATGTCTGTACTGGAAGCACACTTTGGCATACTCGCACACAGAAATGTAGAGGTTGCGATGCAAACACATTTTCTGAATTTGTTCTAGGTTATTTTGTGCTTACAAATATATATATATATATTTATATATTTCTGTTCCCACTACAAAAGATTTCTGTTTCTAAACTCTTCTGCATTGCCTTTGGAAAATTTTGATTGCAAAACTAGGCTACTTTTCCAAAGCCAAGGAGGCTCCCATAGACATGGTACATCTTGCATGGACCAGGTTACAAGTTCTGAGAAAGCTTCACTGCCTGCCTGCTCTGACATAGCTCAGTTACCATGCGGCCCAGAAGCAGACGAGCTGCTACCTGAGCTGATTTCCCGAACTAACCCCTCCGTGCCAGCTGATAAGGGTGTAGCACATGCTGATGCAGCAGTTCTGCATCCAGTTCTGGAGTTAGCTAAGGTATCTCTGCCTGTCACTGAACTGCAGGGTGTGTACCCTGAAAAAGCATTTCTGGAAAATTTGATAGTGTTCTGCTCTATGCTACTCTCAAAGTCTTACCCAGCAAAGCAGAGGAAAAAGACGTAGGCAGATGTAATAGACTATCACAAACCAGATTCATACTCTCCTCCATGATGTTAGCACAAGTGGCTTGGATATCCAGAAATAATTTTCTAATAATAAGAAAGGTGGAAGAAAGTGGAAGAAAGATGTTATTCACTTCTTCTCGGAGTTAACGGGGCATTTCTTTAGACTCTTCACACAGTGTTCTTCCAAGTGAAAACCCAGTGAATGTTTATACCATTTCTAATCAGCCTACTGCCAATCTCCCAAGGGGCAAAATTGGTACCATGCAAAAGAAAAAGAAAGACCAAGAACATAAATCCTGTTCCCCTGCCACATTTCATTCCTGTAATAGCTTTTGATTCCTGTTATCAGCTTTGAGCTTTCCTCAGGATACTGTTACCTGTTTCTTAATCCTATCATACAACTGTATATATTGTTCTTATTGTTTAGAATGGAATTAATCTAATAGGAAAAACGGCTTGTAGTTTGCTGGGGCAGCGGAGGGGGAGGTGCATCCTGTTAAATGCAGCTTATCTTAATTTAAAATAAATACAACTACTTTGCTGACTTTACATAATTACAGTTGCTGATACTTTAGGGCTCCTTTTTACCATTCCTTCATTCTGAGAGGACCATGTGTTACAGGCACCTTACAGGGCAGTCTGGTGGTTCAGAGCTTAAAAACCTTTACAGGAGACTGGGACATTAGCTTAAGAGAAAGTGTGCTGGGAGTACTTTTAAAAGAAAAGGAAAAGCAGTATTATTTCTTAAAATGAAGTATATGACATTATTGAGATTGGAACACATTTCTCTCTAACCCCCAGAACTGAAGCTGTTTGATGCAGATGTTCATCATGAAGACAGACATACAGGGATGTCTTTACTTATAAATCCAAGAGAAGTGACAAAATCTCTAGCAGACTTCTAGATCTCTCTAGAGTCTTATCTCCAAGGCAGGTACTTCCTATTTTTCAGGTCTCTCTCAGCATAGCGAATTTAGATCATAAGTTTATCTCCCCTGCTGCTGCAGCAATGACTGCAGCATCACACAGGTATGTAGACTGAAGCCAGCATTAAACAAGCTAATCTGCAAGCAAATCAGGTTGTCTCTATACTATTAAGTTCTGTTACACTTGAGGTCTCTACCAAAGCTATGACACTGCCTTGGGAATGCTCCTCAAGCCATGCTAATTCCCTTGCTATGCGGAGGATTCATCTGACCCTAAGGTAGCTGGTTCACATTTAAGGTGTGCCCGAGTCTAATGACTCAGCAGTGTAAACAACCGAGGCCCAGGAAGGCTCTTTAGCACTTTACAATTTAACTGCACAGACACAGCACAATAATTTATCAGTGACAGCATACATCCCTGGACAGGGGTATTTGCCCTTGTCATCTAGCAGTGTCAAGAAGTCTGCGCTGAGCTCTGTGCTTCAGCCACAAAACTGCTCTTTAAAAGCATCATGAATTTCTGCTGTGTAGATACCCCTGTGCCTGGTCCCAAACACTGCACTATTTGAAAGGGAATTGCAAACACTGTGCAACCACTGGGGCCATGATAAACTGCACATCCTTTCTCTACACACATGCTTCTCTAAATGTTGTGCCCTGCTTTTCCTAACAGGAGAGAGATAAAAGTCCTTCTGTGGTATTTTACATTAAGTGCCTTTGATTCCCAATGAGAGCAGCCTCTCTCGGAGCCCTGTCCATTTACATCTCCGGCCGCCCTGCTGCAGGAGGGCCACGGTGACACAGCAGTCCTGTGGAGATGGCTGAACATTCCTGAGAGCTGAACTTTATCACCCAGCAGCATGCAGTCAACAGCCTGGGCATCTAGCTTGACTATTTAAGAGGCTTTTTGCCAGAGTGTCATCCAGCAACGCTTTTATAAATGCCTCACAGATCATCCCAGGGCTCTTACTAGCCTGAATGCCTATAGAAAGGTTGAACTGAGTTAGGCACTTTCATGCCTGTCTTTGACAATGGCCAACACTATATGTTGTAAGAAAGAGATATAAGAAGGCCTATTAAAGACAACAGAAGGATATCTTTTCCTATGGGAAGTTTCTACTCTTAGGCAATTATTGACTTGCACTCTAAAGCAACAATCTTTATCTTTCCTGGAAATCTTACCATCTCCTATGTTATTGTGGGTGATTTTGATTGTACCAGTGCCTAGTGGCTTTTGAATCCTTCCGAGTCTTGGCCTCACTGCATCTTTTGGCAAGGAAGTTTTCCCAGGCTGAGTTCCTTTTTAATGTATGCTGCAACTTCAATTATTGGATTCTCTCCTCATACCATGTTGTTTGATTAGGAAATAGGAGCACACAGTTTACTTTGACTCAACTGTTCCCACCTCTGCCATCTCTCTCTCATTATTTTCTTGCCTAAGTGTTGCTATCTTTTTCCAAACTCCATAAGGTAAAAATTCAATAATACATACTTGATAGGATATGTCACATACTCCCTGCAACTCTGCATCAAAAATATTTGAAAATAATCACCATCTGTGTGGATGTCTCTACATTTGAAATAATGTAGAAAATGCTCAGGGTTTATGTCAAGAGTTTTTTTTTATTATTATTGTCTTGAATATATCCTAGGAAACTTCCAATGGAATTAAGAGATGGCTCTCTCAGAAGAATCAGGTTCATGTCATCTGCTAACAATAATTGGAAGAAATAAAAGTAAGAAGATGAAGAAAGAAGAAGTAGAAGAAACAGTCAACAATAATTAAAAGAGAAACCAGCAAAGAACAATCATGAGACAACAGAATATTTTGCCTCTGTCTACAAGCATACTTGATGCGATGTCTATCTTCATGTTCTGAATCTCAATATGATGTGGAAAGGAAATAAGATCTTCTTCAGACAAAACATAATGATGCGCTTTGCCTCAGAACAAAAACAACCCAGGATGAGAGTCCTGATTTTTTCCTCTTCCCCTCTGCAGGTTGGTTACAGTTGGGAGGGAGGGTTATGAACCCTGGTTGGATATACAGCGTTTGCTCAGAGGCCTCAAGCAGATACAGACTCTCAAGAACATCCTGTGGTGGTGTCACCCCTATTTAGGCCCTATGTCTATGGGTATGAATCTCTCTAACTGTCTGAAGAGGCAGACCTTACAGTGAAAAAATGTATATCTGAAACAATGAAGAATATATTCTAGGAGAAAAATTATTTTATTCAGCACAAAAAAATAGGAGCAGTAATGACACGATAAAGATTAATGAACTTCCCTAATGTTGCTGATGAGGGGGAACAAACATCTCTCTAATTCTAACAAAATGAGGCTATGCAAAAGCTCACATCAGCATCAGTGAACAGAGTCATGCAGAGAATTTGAAGGTTTAATATACAAAACGACTTATATTCTACCACAGGGAACAAATCCATATGTAAAAGATCTAGAGTGCTCCTTACCAGGGGGCTCTTCAGCTTTTTGTTTCACAGACATATATTTGCAGATTTCAAACTTTCCGCAGTTCAGAAGACTTTGTCATGTTTTGTTTGGATTTTCGCAGATGGGAGGCACTAAAAGCTCCAAACCACGACTAAAAGTTAAATGGTGACAAGTACATTAAAAGGGAAAGGACAAGATTATTTCACAGAATAAAATTGCAATTTTCTATATTAAAGAGAGTTTGGATGGTTTTTATTGTTTAAGACGAGATGAGCTGTTGATTTGAAATCTAAACTAGTGGGAGGTTTTATGATACAGACATGAAGAATGTTTGGATAATTCATCACACCAGCCTGCATGTTTTAAAATATTTATGTATCTAGGTTGATGGTTATAGATCTTCATGTTTCACCCCATTCAATAGTCGGTGCTGAGAATATGCATGGTTATGGGGCCAAATAAAATCAGTATGCTATGTGTATGTGTGCTTCTCCTGAAAAGGCACTCATTAACTTAAGTCCCTAACTCCAGGAGTTAAAAGGTTCATTAAGGTCTGATTTAATCCTTTATAGATAGGCACTTTAAACAGATTGCATTAGATGTACATATTCTAGGGTGAAACTGCGGGATATTCTGGAGTATGTTTAGTCCACAAGCACGGCGATGCCTGCTGCTCCAATACGCACGCTTATCCTGGTGAGGCACTGCCAGCAGTGAGGAGCTCCAGATGACTAATCACGGAAGAACGTAGCCAACACTCACCTGGTTTTGCAGCCTGTGCTGGGCTCTGTGTTCCTGACATACAAGGCAGGTAGCATACACTAGCTTGGGTAAGTCTGCAAGAGGGGCTACAACAACGACAGTCTCACAAACTGAATTCCTGGCCTGCTCATATTATTAATGATCAAAATTTTCTACAAGCTATTACGTACCATTGTTATCAAGATTCACATGAAAAACAGCGTGCTTAGCATGGCCTATAGACCTCCTTTGAGACACAGGAATCACTGATGGAAATGCAGTCTTCGACTTTAGGATGTTATAGGTGGATAAGAGGGAAGAGGGTTTGTACAGACGAGGTGATCTGCATGCTGTACCAAGAAGTGCTACTGATGTCAGCCAAAGCGTAAACCTGCATCTGGGTCATTGAAAACAAATGGACCGTGGTAGCAACTTGCAGTATTCCTATAAAAACGGCTACATTCCTGTTTCCTTTCAATTATGCTTCTCTGTCAAAAAAATCCCCTTAGTTAGCTCTGCACAGAAGTGTGTATCGAAAAGGTAGCTAAGGATGTAGTATACAAATAGAAGCATTTCTGGCCTACAGAAATCACTGCCAATGAGTGACACTTTCTGAATTCTTGATATACTGGCCTTTAATCCTAGGAAGAGGGGAAAATGGGTCATCCTTTTCATATTGTTCTGCTGAGAATAAAATTGAGTAAAACAACATGAACTTGTTAGCTGCAGTTGATAATTTCTGCCCTTTTCACGAATTGTCAAATCAGTTGGCTAAGGAATGCAGTGCTAAGGATATAAGAGAAAAATGAGAACAGGGGAAAAAATACTGAAGGATATTTTTAGACAGTTCAATATAATGAGGAAAAAAAAGCCATGGAAAACAGAAGTTAAAGAAATTGAAGAAAATGTGTCCATACTGTGCTTGCAATAGGTAGCTGAGAAACCACGTGTATACTATGAGTAATTCACATAAGGATTTAAGCATTTCTTACAAAAGGATTTTTTCAGAGGTAATTGTCAAGTGTCAATTTAATTTGACTTAATTGCCCAGTTCCTCATGTAGTGCAGCAAATTTATACTTCAAGTATATGAGGCAAAGAAATGTATACATAGGAGTGCAGATTTAACAACAGAGAAAAAATCTGAAAAAAAATAGACTAGGCTCTGCTAATCCTGAGGAAAGGATGTAGTTGCCAAGTGAAATGATCTTTCAGACAAGGCATTTGAACTCCCCTTCCTCTTCGGCATCATTCAGAAATTATCTGAAATTCGAGGCCTCTGCTATTCCAGAATTGAAGGGGAAAAAAAAATGGAGAGATCAAGGCATGAAACTGGTTGGGTGCCTCCTGTGTCCTGGGAACTGATTTGGAGCCCGGCTGGTATGCGGTATCATGCAGAGCAGCTCCAAGGCTGCTCTCTGTGGGCTCTTCCCAGAGCATCCAACTGAGCAGGAGCAGTAGTGTGAAGCGGAGTGGAACAGTCCTGGTCTAGACTGCAGTCTCTGTGGCTGCTTGCAAGATGCTCCCTTTATTAGCAGCTGGTAGATGAGCTGGCTCAGAGCTGCCCCAGCTGTTCTTTAGCTTTTAGACAGTAATCTTATTGGAGCTATTTCACAGAGGCTTTGCCTCCTGTTTTATGCTACAAAGGGGCTGCCCTCGCAGTGGAGCTAGCCAGGAACTATGCCCGGTGCAGCACAGCGAAGATCAAGGATCTGGCGGGTGCCAGGCCTGATCTCCTTCCAAATAGGCTGTGTCCGGGCTGGATTGCTTAAGCAAAAGAGCGCATGAACTCCTGCATTAGACACTCACATTGTGTTAGGCCAGAGCACAGCAATAAGATGTTCAATCACTTTGGGAGAGAACAAAAAGTGTATGAGTATATTTATCATTATACTTTAAAATAAGATTGAATACTCGTTAACCATGAATGAAAGAATGTATATGAAATCCTCACAGGCAATTTTCAAACACAGGACCTTGCACTTCCACCAAAACCCTTAGCCATGGTGCTCTGCTGAGATTAAATGCACATGTAAATTGGTGTTTTCTCACTGCCTCAGCAAAAAAGTAATTATATTTTCAAGGTAGTTAATATTTACTTCTCCTTTTGCCCCTGCTACCATCTTTTCATCCCAACAAATACGAAGATGTAAGTAGCCTGCAATCCATTTCAAGTCCAGCTAGGTGCTGCCTCTGCTAATAGCTTCCTTCCAGGGCTGGTTCCTGAAAATATTAGGTATCCTCTAAAATCAATGTCTTTTTTTTTCCTCAATGATTTGTAATCTATTCATAATAGCATAGTTTTACTTAAAAATCATATATTACTCTGTGTATACATGTGTGTGTATTCATGTATGAGTTCCTGTGTTATGGGAAACAAAGTAATTATGCTATTTAAAATTATTTTTAGAAAGAAAATGTATCTTGACACTGACATCATGTATCTGCAAAGTGAAACAGTGTGTTAGCTACTTTTCAAATCTCTGTTGTTATAATTTATTATGTATATGGCATCACTAATAGATAGGATGCTTCAAAATGAAATAGGACGAATCTGTTTTGATCTGAGGCATCAGAGCAGTCTCAAAATCTCAGGTAACAAGTGAATTTAAAGAAAATTAGATTGCACCAGGCACAGATTCAACCCCCAGCCTTCTCAAAAGCAGGAATCTTTCTTACTAAATCTCCCTTACTATGTTAAATTTGCATTGAAACACATTTATATTAATAAAGGCAATGTGACTGAAAATAGCAAAAGATTTCACAAGATTTTGGACTAATGTCAGTAGAGAATACTTGCAGGCGAGGCATATTAGATCCAGCAATTTAATATTAAAGCAATCTTAGCCTTTCCATTGCCCATTCTTTATTTTTTTTTCCCTTCTCTGTGGCTTGACCATTGAAGGAATTGCAATATCAAGGAGGATGAACATAAATAGGTACTTCTTTCACTCTATTTGCAGCATTTATGTCAGAAATGGGGTGATCTAGCCTTTATAAAGTAAGAAATCATAAATGGTTTCCTATTCGATGACATTTAAAGTTCATTTAGATTGCAACTATGGCTATAGAAATACATAGGAGAAAACAGTGCTAAGTGGGTCAGGGGAGGTGGAAAAACACAGTATTGGTTTTGCTGCTAGAGAGGATTACTTCAGTGTGACACTTCATTATTTGTGGAGGCACAGTACCTTGTCAGTAGATAATAGATGCCTTGTTAGTAGATAGTTAACCCCAAGGATGTCAGCCTTATCAGCAGATAAAGAACAGAGCAGGAAAAGGAGGACTGCAACCCCCATGCAGAATGTCTTGTCAGAAGACAAGAAACAAAGCCAGGAAAAGAAGCTATTTACAACCGCACGGGTGGCAATATGCTGATTGGTTGTAAGCTTTGCAACACTTGTGTTAAGAGAGTAT